TTTGTTATTTGTTATTGATAACAATAACTTTTTTTGTTATTGTTATTAATAACAATAACAATAAATTCACACCCCTACTTCCAATGGCTCAACAGTCGCTGGTCAAGCAAGTGGAGCATCGGGATCAAGTCTAAACTATTTCGATCGGGCTGGCGGTGTCGTCGTTGACTCGAATGGCAATCTCTATGTGACAGATCCCTTTAATAACCGAGTTCAATTCTGGTCAAACGGATCAATTTCAGGCACGATAATTGCCGGCACAGGTAAGATAGCTAGAGGTGCAAAGGATGATGATGACTTCAGTCGAAAGGATCGAGATGTTTTCTGTGATTGATCGTCCATAACATAAAAATCATCGATTGGTTGGGAAAACTAGAGGAAGACGTTACATAATTTGGAGAATAATCTTGACTAATTATCTATTTCTGTTGAATATTTTAGATGTGAATAGTGTGCATCTTAGCTAGATTGAGAACCTTTCAATTCTTTTGACATTCATCGAAACAAGCGGAGATATTCTATATTGTTTCCACTCAATGATGACCTTCTAATCTTTTGTCGACAAACATTCGTCTCTTTTCTTTTTCTATTAAATGATGAATAGTGTACTTGTCCTCGAAAACTGCTTGAAATCAAGTCAGTTAAAATAGTTAGTCAAAAAAACTTAATTCAAATTGAAAACAAGAATGAATATTAGGAGTGATAGCCTAGAGAATGAGAATAGAGAAGCGATCACGTTAGAATCACCTCACTTTTGATTTCTGACAAGTGTCGCTTTAAATAATATTATTAATGCATTCTTGGATGTGAAATACATGTTCATCGCTCTGAAACAGTCATTCTCTGCTCTTTCGAAACTGAAAACTTTTATGCATGCCAAAAACAATTTGCTACATGATAGTTTGACAATGCATATTGCTTCAAAAATTTTTCACTTGAGTATATGACAAATACTAGGTAGTTGTTCCGATGTTGAAAGCTAGGTATGCTTGAATATACATATATTTATAAAATCTTCGATTACTATTTTTCTTGTACAATATTTAAACATTTTCAAAAACTGCTTCTGAAAATTGTTCTCATATATTTTCACATTCAAGAAAATAAATTTCAATCCAGAGGTAATAATATCCGATTTTCCACAATATTTGTTAGATGTGAAGAATATTTTGCAGAGTAAATATGCCTTAACGGTAACGATTTACTAGAATCTCTGCCCGTGAAACAATCAAATATCAAGAAGCAATAATTGCCAATGAACCTCTGCAATTGCCTTATAGATATCCAGTCTGCGATAGAGGTCTGCAGAGTTTTCTCTCAGTGCTTAAACAATTCTCGATACACCGCTACCCTCTCATGAAATGAAAGCCCGTTTTGTGAAACAAATCATCTCAAAAGCTTTATCAAATATTGTTGTATTTCAATCGAATATATGCGTGTTTTCAGGCACTTCTGGATCTGCGGCTAATGAGTTGTACGATCCGTATGGTATTGCTCGTGATGCAAGCTCGGGCACACTTTACATAAGTGATTACTCGAATCATCGTGTAATGCAATACTTGTCAGGCGCATCTAGTGGCACTGTGATTGCTGGCGGTAATGGACCAGGAACAGGTAGTACACAGCTGAATGGTCCATTCGGTATCTATTTCGATTCAGTATCAAATAGTCTTGTTATCGCTAATCGTGGGGCTAATAATATCGTTCGTTGGGTAATAGGAGCCAGTACATGGACACTTCTTGCTGGTAATAGTGGTGGATTGAGTGGTTCTTCATCAACATTACTAAACGGTCCTTGCAGTGTAACACTCGATTCTATGGGAAACATGTATGTAGCCGATACGTTCAATCACCGTATACAGTTATTTTTGGTTGGTCAACAGAACGGTACTACCATTGCTGGATCCGCTGGAATAAGTGGCAATAGTTCCTCCTTGCTAAATACTCCCTATGCTCTCAAACTTGACGATCAATATAATTTGTATATAGCCGACACATACAATCACCGTGTGCAAAAGTTTGCATGCCACTAAAAGCAACTTCATTGATGTTGGTAAAACTTTGACTACGTTTCCTTTTTTTTTCATATTTACATGCTTTCGAAATGCCTAGCGTGCAGTATTCGTATCGAGCGGTCTAGGCTCAATAACTCATTTGTATTTCAATTTTTTTTTGCATATTCTATCTATAGTTTCTTTTTACTTTCTAAATAAAACTGGTAATTTGAAAATCTATACAAAATGATATGGCCAGATTCAATGGAAATAGTTGCCACTATTTGGGGAAAGACGATACAATCATTCAGGCGAATAATTTCAATTGTCTACTACACTCTCGAACCTGATTACTTTGGCAACATGTTTCAATTCTTCAGTAAATGTCAAGTTTTATTCTAATCAGATCTTAGTCGATTGAAGACTAAGGGGTGTGGGTAAATGTTGTACATTTTGTTATCGTGAATTCAACTCTATTCAATAACAATCATTGTTAAACGTAGAAGAGAAAAGTAAGAAGGATAAGAGAGAAAGAGAACTCGAGAACAATCCAAGTGATGATATTTATACATATGTATATATATATATGATGGCAAGTATAGAAAAAAAGTCATTTACGTATATGGCAAGAGTGGAAAATTCATGTATATGTTGATAGACCGATGTGTACAAGATAAGAATGAAAAAAAAAGATGATGTTTTATATTTATTAGAAAAAATGACAATATGTGATATGGGTGTGTGGGTGTGAGTAATTGACGTAGAGAAGACTCATGCCACATCCAAACCCACATCCACACTCTCTTTATTTCGATCTTTTCCCCTGAAATTCGTCTGTGTCTTAAATTGACTTTCCCTTCTTGCTTCCAATAAAAAGTTATGAGAGACTGATCATTATGTTTTTCTTTTTTTGTTCGCTTTGGTAACCTAATGCCAGTAGCTTATTTCTCCAATATTTAGACTGAGATCAACCATTTTGTAGATATAAAATGAACACTGAGGTATCATTCTATAAAATCTTCCTCTTAAATTTGTTTGTCTCTGTTTCAGATAAAATACCATTACCGACTATCTTAATGTTCTTATTTTTCGATAATTATTGGTGAGTATTTCTTTGATTATTTCATTTGTTCACTCTGACTCAAAAAAAAGTGAACTTCACAGGTACACTCCAAGTTTGGAGCTTACTGATGCATCCATATGTCACCACTCATTCGGAGTCCATGTTTTATTATTTACCACAGACACATCGTTCTAACCATGAGTATAGGTTGCCAGTCTTATGTTATGTCTAAGTAGTTAATCATTAATTAAGTACTATTCTCTAAAAAAAATCTGTTTCCCAGAAGACCAACGAAAAAAAGTTTCCGATGGTTCGGAAACCCATTTCTTACCCTCGGAAATCTTTGAAAGAGTTTCTGAGGGTAGGAAATGAGTTTTCAAACCCTCGAAAACTTTTTTTGTTGGTTTTCTGAGAAACGGATTTTTTTTAGAGAGTATTCAACTAAAGAGCACTAATAAAAGGAGTACTCATGTGACTAGTGCTCTATTAGTTACTATCACTGAAAACAAATTGGTACCATGCGCAACCATTTTACAACGAATTTGAAACCTTCAAAAAGGTTTCGTGAAAACCTAAGGTAGTCTCAAAATGATCATCAAGAGTGTAGGAAACCTACGAAACTAGTTTTGGTTCCGTATGGTACCTTTTTTTCGGAGTACTCAACTATTTAATGTCGAAGGAATAAGTGCTTACCTTATTTCTATCTAGGTAAGGTGCACTACTTCTAACAATTTAGCTATTATATAGGAATCTTACAGAAAGCTTTCTCAAGGCGTGTCTGAAGCTACTTAGGGATAACTTTTTAAGAGCTATTTGGAGGTACCATAGTCAACTTTCTAACGCGGGAAGGTCCCCAAATGTGACACTCAATTCTGAATGGGATATATTTCAGTTTGTAGAGGTCGGCGAGCTGATTCTCGTAGTATGTTTCGTTTTTCCCCATGGACCCTCAAATGAGAAAAATGGTAGGGTTTATTTTCGCAGAATCATACAAGAAATATCGGAATTTCAAGTATAATATTGTCAGAAACGATCAAGTTTAAAAACTTGTTGCAGCACTTTAAGCCGCTCGTTTTCATGTAACAGATCAAAAGGTATTTAAGGTTGTGTTACTTTTCATGTTTTGATGTTATTTTTTTGTGTGGAAAAATTATTTATATGATACAGTCTGAAGAATGCAAGTTCGATAACTAGACTATTTTCTACATTCTGCAGTTTAAGCCTTATGATTTTCATGTTTCGAATTCGACAGACTATCTATTTATTGTTTCATTCGTTTTATTCGGACAATATATCAAGAAATGAATCAATGGAAATGATACACAACAAAAAAAATGGTCGAAACACAATATTCGTCGATAATGAATAAACCCCCCCTCATAATAAAAGACCCCCCCCCCCATATTAGAAGACCCCCCGTTTTAGAAGACCCCTCCGGAAGAGTCACGTCATAGAAATTTCTTTTTTTCACCAGCAAAAATTTACAAAATTTACAAAAGTTCGCTGGACCATAATAGAAGACCCGGGGTCTTTTATTGTAGGGGGGGGTTTACAACAAATGAATGCACTCTGGTTACAATTACTGTTTGAGCAACTGTTTACATCAAAAGAAAAACAAATTTCTATAACACTTGAGAAATTCAAATATTGTTTTGGAATGTAGCCCGCAAGTTGACCACGGATATGAAATCATTGGTTTGAATACAGAAGAACTTAGTCGATTATGAACCAGATTCTGCCATTTGACGATAGCATCACGACTTCTTAAGTCAACATCTAGTTCATATAGAGATACACGATGATATATTCTCTTTGTCAACTCTTTCCATTGACGGAAAAAATGAGTATCACAAGGCTGTTAATAGTTGATGTCGTTCTTCTTGGGATCACCAATAATTTACACGACTGGCCTTTTGTCAAATTGTTGTCGTATGCAGTAATGTCAGCCTGTGGCAACCATTGATCGACCATAAAAAGAAATCGATTGCTGACTACTTTATCTAGAACTTCTCTAATCCAATATTTTATCAAGGATGTATTTAATTTTCCAGATTTACTGCAACTTGTTACTATATTTGGTGCTAAAAAGATCGTTTTCGTGGTTGGAAATCGACCTGTAGGTTCTTGAAGACAAATAAAAACAGGACTCAGTAGTTGACCAGCGGCACTGATGATAGGCATCACTGTATAGGAGTGGGTTGTGACATTCATAGATTGTACTGATACATAAGTCGTTTTTTCTCCCACATAAGATAAGGTGAGATTCGAAGCTACAGGTAGTCCAAAAGTATCCGAACACTCCCCATATTTTTTCGTATTTCTTGGCTTGCGAAACAGAAACAAGAGATGCACTTTTTCTTTTTTTCATCAGTAGATAGTCCTTGTTTTGTGCAGTATTTGACAGGCTTTCTAACGGTTTATTTGAAAATTAATTTTGATAAAAATTTCATTATGATCTTTTACTCGCCCTATCGTATTAAGCATGTTGAAAAATTTGATTTCTTTTGAAATAGTTCATATTGTGAAAATTAAATTTCTTCATTGGAATATTATGCCAATAGATAGAGCTCGCTTTGCTCGTTCCAGCGGTGTGCAAACAATATAATTGTGATGCCCGAAAAGCGAGCATCTAACATATGGAAAATCGGACATTTCAATGAGAAACGTTCTCGTAAATCGGGGTAATAATCAAAATTGTTTATTATTATGGAGAATCTACTATGAAGTGAGGACTATCTACTGACGAAAAAGAAAAATAATATCTGCTGTTTCCACTTCGAAAATCACGATATACAGGTGTTCGGATACTTTTTGGACTACCTGTATTTCATAATGAAAACTGGATTGATCTGCATTTAGCACAAAGTCGAGTTTATATTTTGGTATATATTTGGTTGCTTCGGCAACAAAATCATCATCAGTTTTTTTAAAAATAGATTTATCAATAGATTCTCGGTGAGAAATGGATTTTGTCACATTTCTGAAAGAAATACCGCTACGTTTCTTAAAATTGAGAAGCCAATGATGACTTGCTGTAAAATCATCCATATTTTCCACCTTTGCCTGAGACAAAGCCTATCGCTCCAAGTCAATGTCGTGCACACGTAAATTCTTATCACGAGCAAATCGAAACCTATCAAGCACAAAATTCTCAACGCGGTCCGGTTTTTACCGACGAATTCCATTACTCGCAACATATTCTCCCAATCACTTTAGTTGCATACGATGTGTAACTCGTGGATAAGCATGCTGTAAGGTTGTGAAAGAAACATTTCGATTAGCAAAATCAACAACCTTTTGCATATATTCTGAAGTGAACTGACGATTTCCAACTACTTTTTGGTTTTCATCATCTTCGATTTCGATATGCTAGTCAAGATCAAAATCTTCTTTGTCAAAAAATTCGCGAGAATCTTCGGATTCTATTGTAAAGCTATCACTGTTGGAAAAGTCTTCTAATAAAGCAAGTAGATTGGTTGCGGTTGATATTTCTTGCTTTGTGATACTTGTTGGATGAACATTTGACCATTCCAATGCTATTTCATATATAAATTTACATATATTAACAACGTTCGTCATAGAGAAGTAATTCTCAGTATAGTGAAAATTGAAAGAATATTGCTCAAAAGTTGTGTCATATACTATTTTCTAAATGGCAGATATATATATTCGGAAGAAAGAGAAAGAATTTACTGGAAAATGTTGGAAGATACCAGAAACATTTTCACAGGCGAAAAGTATAGAAAAGAAAGAGAGAGAGATGATTAAGTAGCATATAATAAAAAGAGCGGAAAAAAAGAGATGCGTATCATGTGTACATAACAACAGGACGAAAAGAACTGTCTTTATATCACTTCTTTAGTACAGCGTTATACCATTATGTAATAACAGTAGCAAGTCACGAAGCACATTGGATGAAGAACACTTCAGTATTATCGAATAATGATCACGCAAGTTAATCTAAAAATACACTACCAAATGCAACATTGTCTATGATTCAACATGACGATTTAAACTTTAAGTACCCTTGAAATCTCAAGTTTCTAATAATTGTCTTAAAACTTATCCAAACTGAAGAAATTCACTAGGAAAATCGATCGATTTTTCTCATTTGAAGGTCCTTGGCGAAAAACGAAACACACTACGAGAATCAGCT